GACCTCGTTTTCGCTGTTCTTATCCAAAACAAAGCAGGAGACCGGGGGTTGCGCACCCAAACAGTGGCGCGGTGATGCGGGCCTACTGTAGGCCAACAAATTTTGCGTTCACCCTAAACCACAGAATTCTACACTGTGATTAACAGAAAAATTGTAGAATTCTGTGCCGTGAACAAACGTTCCATTACAACTGTAGCCTACTAAAAGCGTACAATTTTGTCTGTGGGCAGTGGAGAGAAAGAGAGAGAGAGAGAGAGAGAGGAGTAGCGCGAGAACTTCCGGTCAAAACAAATGGCGACCTGCGTAGTTCGGCTCGATTCGAAAAGTTAAATAGCCGTAACATCTTTGTAGACAACCAAATTCATTTACGTTTGTGTTTTAACATCATTTTTTAACTTTGTTTTGGTCAATTTGATCGTCCACACCGATAGACAGTATTCAGAAAGAGACAGAGAGGGAGAGAGGGTAGGAGTACATCTCGCGAGAACTTCCAGGCAAAACAAAATGGCGACCAGCGTAGTTCGGCTCGATTCGAACAGTGAAATAGCCATAGCATCTTTGAAGACAATCAAATTAGCTTACTTTTGTGCTATAAACGTAATTTTTTCTTGGCTTTTATCAATTTGATCATCCACACCGATAGACAGTATTCCAAAATGAGGAAAATTTAAGCAGGTCTTGTTTCGCACAGGGTGAGAATAGCCTACGCTGGCAAGTCTCACCCGGGGTGAGAGGTAGATCGTTTTTCTATTCTCACCCCGAATGAGAATAGCCACTGAGTGACGCGGTTGCAATTGACAAAAATTGACTTTTTGTCAATTGCCACCGAGTAAATTGGAGCTCTTTTGCGTTTGTGGGTAGATCTAGCTTATTGTGCTTGAGTGCTCGGTGTTGTGCGTTCGCCTCTGTGTGTGTGTGTGTGTGTCTTTTCCTGACTCCCGTCCCCCGATTTATGTTCCCCGATATAACATGAATTTTTGCTTGAGTTTGTGTGCGTTTGTGACCTTCTAGGACTACTTCTAGAATTGCCTGTGTTGGTTCTACACCAAAGTGTAGGCTAAGGCTAGCCTAAATCTAGATACGTCTCATTGAAAACACGCCAAGTTGGTACCGTAGCTCTAGACTAGATGCTCGTCCAACGAAATTTGTTGAGAACAAATTGACCCATTGGACACACATTATGTATATATATTATGCT